CCCGTATCTGCCGCTATCCTTCGCTCCTTCGGAGGATTCTTCGTGCGTGCTGCTGCGTTGCGCGAATTTTTGGCAGGCCCGTACGATTCCGATCGTTTAACGGCTATTATAAACCCGGCCGTTTGGCAAACGCGCACGCTTGAAATTAATTAATGGCGACTGGCAGAGGCGTGACGGAGGCCCGCGCGAACTCCCTCGCGGATTTTCGGCGCTACCCTACCGTACATTGTGTTCTCAGCTCGGACCAGCCAGCCAACCGCGCGCGGCAACGGTGACCAGGAAGATCCTGCTCGAGGTACGATAACGGATTCTCGGAGTATACTGTTACTACGCCTGAGAGAGCGTGCTAGTGAGCGACTACCGGCCGATTGGCACGGAACGAAGAGAGTATCGAGCCGTAAAACAATTGTCTAAAAATATCCGCCGTGTAGGAAAAAAGCTCGCCGGGCCGTGATCGAGTCACGGAATAACGTCGAACCGATCGAACGACGAGCCGCGAATAATCCTTAATTTGATTTCGTCGCTCTCTCTCTCTCTCTCTCTCTCTCGCTTTGCGGATCGATCGCGATCGGCGTCGCGCCGAAATATTTCTCTCGACGGCGAGAATGAATCGCCGATCGCAATACCGTTCCCGGAGAGAGTACGTCGCGATTGTTAACCGCACGAAGCGGATTACGTGGAAGTAACGGCAACCGGGAGCGGAGCTTCGGGAGATTCCTTCGACCACGCGATACGCGTTTTTCGTGAAACCTCGCGTGACACCCCGCCTTGCGCGGTAGACACGAGAAAAAAGTTTACATACGCCTTCGCACAAAGTTTCACCCCGGCTCGCACGTGCGAGTGTGTTTCGCGTGACGGCCAATTGTTACGGCCGATAACACGTATATAAAAGGACAGGTTACTCGTTGATACAGGTCGTCTCAGAAATGTCGCGCCTCACGAGGCGTGCGGAAATGCGATCAAGCAGCAGCATCCACGATGCTTTCCTCGCGCTTCATAAGCGGTGGTGTCAATTACACGCTCAACGATACAATAGGAGAGGAGGGAAGAGAACGTTCGTCGGCTGGAAAAATCGTCTATTTACCTGTAATAAGGCGTTCCGAAGGGCGAGCAATAGAACGGGTCGGGCGGCTGCATGTGCGGCTGTCCAGGTACTCCGGGTCCCTGAGGATGCGCGTGCGGTCCCATCGTGGGGCCAGGCCCGCACATACCGGGTCCACCTTGAGGTTGCATACCAGCGGGGCCCATTATACCGGCCGGACCCATCGGATGGGGCGCTGGATGGTGCGGCGAGCCGACCATGTGAGGGCCCGGGTGATGGGGATGGGGCGAGGGTCCGCCACCTCCCATGTGCGGGTGGGGCGTATGGGGAGAACCGCTCATCATGCCGTGGGGTGGCATCGGATGGGGACTCGGCGACGCGCCGTTGAGATGCGGCGCCGCGCTCACGCCGCCGTGAGGGGTCGGCGGGCCGCCGTGCGTCGGCGTCGTGGCTGGCTGCGGCGGCGGCAAGCTCGGCGGTCCGGTGGGGCCCGTGCCCGCGAGCGGCGGCAACGGGCCGTTTGCCATGTTGTTGAGCTGCGTGAGCGAGGCCGCCGCCGATGCCATCGCCTGCAGGGGATTCGTGGCGCCGCTCGCCGTGTTGATACCTAGGGCGTTGTTGCCGAGATGGTGATTGCCGGGGTTGCTGCCGGGGTTACCGTGGCCGAGGTTGGGATTGACGATGTTGTTGCCGCTGGTGCTGTTCGCAACACCGCCGCCGAGCGATTGCAAAGACGGCGGCAGCGGTGGCGAGCCGGCGGGGGGTGCTGCCGGGCCCCCGAGGCACCGGCCCGACGGACCGGGGGCGGCTACGCTGCTGGGCGCTACCGGCACGCCGGCGTGGAGTGGGATTCCACCTGGAGGGCGCTGTGCCACGCTCACGGCCGGCATCACTCCCCCCTCCACGGCGCCCTTCACCCTCTCCTCGAACTCTCGCCGAGGTTTGGACTAGAGTCGACGAAGCGCGATCCTTTTCTCCGTCTTTGTCTCTTTCCTCGCTCCGTCCGCCTTTCTGTCCCTTTCTCCCTCGGTCACTTTCTCTTTTTCTTTCACTCGCTCTCCGACTCTTTTCTTGCCGCTTTCTGCCCTCCTTTCGACGTTCGTGTTGAAAGCGTCCCTTTCTCGCCGTCTCTCTCTCTCTCTCGCGTACGCTCCCCTCCGGTTGTATCAGCTTCTCGAACTTGGGATCTCTCCTTTTCAAACTTGAGCGAAGAACTTCGCGAGGCCTTTCCCTCGAACTGAGAACCACTGAGCTCTATTCCGCGATTTTCTCGTCCTTTCCGAACGTGTTACTCGTCATTATTCATTTCCGGCGTTCCTGCTTGAATTTCCACAGAGTTCGAGAGAGTTTTCGTACGTTCGCGAACGACGATTAAAAGAGCGACCAGTCCCTAGCGAGAGAGGTTGGAATTCCCGAGACTCTCGCTCTCAAAATACCGGAATACACCGGTTCCTTTGTCACGCGAACGATTACTCTCCGTATAGAGGGACGTTATGTATCACCGCGCACTGTGTAGGAACGAGTATCCTCCGGCGTAAAACGAGGGAATCCACTTGTTAGCCCCGCGTGCGCATCGGACGGAAGGGGGTATTATCGTGGCGGACGTTACGGACTTTCTTATCGCGTTCGCGCGTTACGCGCCGAGCCACCCTCGTCGTCCGTGGAAGCGCTAGTGGCGGAGCCAGATACCGGCGCGACGTGTTTTCACTCACACGTACGAAGATGTCACGCGTGTTATATCCGTCCTACGCGCGAAGAAACAGCCACCTGTTCGCGAGGAACTTTTCTCAGAGAGAGAAGCGCCGGCTCTCGCTTTCTCTCTCTTTCGCGCGTTCACACCGCGATCTATAGCACAGAGAACCAAGATCGATCTTCGCCGATATCTCTCTCTCTCTCTCTCAATCGACGAATTTCCTCCTCCGCGCCGACTCGCGCGCGCGCGAGCGGACGTCAAGTCGCACACATGCACGCACACTCACGCGCGACACCACGCACACATATACCGGATACACGCACACATATACACACTGCTCTCGCGGCAAATTCGGGCCGCTCCTAACGTCTCCGCGCGCTGTTTACTTTTCCGTCGTGACGTGCGTACGCACGAATATAGACGACGAGTACACACCACCGCTCGCGTGTTCCGCGATTACGACATGCTAGGCACGCAATCGCACGGCAAAAAGAGGGAGAGTTAACCAACAAGCCACTGGCCAACGACGACGAAGCGTCCGCTGCGGCACGTGGCCGTCACGTCGTCGAGTCTACGTAGCAGCATCTACGCAGCGAATCAACGTTACTGCCGGTTGTCGTCGCCATTCGGCCATCCCCGCACTAATAGCGTCCCTTCCTTATCCCTTCCTCCGTCTGCCGCTCGTAGTGATGTATCACACCTACGCCGGCTAGCAGTCTCACTATCCACGACGTACCGCGCCGGCTGCTCTAACGGAATCCCCGCATCCCTTAGGTATGTTCAGCCCCCCTCCCTCGCTCGCACACTGTATCTCTCTCTCTCTCTTTCAGTCACCGCTCGGCGACCCGAAAACCAAACCCACGCGCGCACGCCGCCGCTGCTGCCCGATCGTCTGTGTGACGACGCGAGTCGGCATTCTTCCCGCGCGACGTGCGCGCCTTATGCGGCGATTTATGAATTTCCAGCGACACGACGACGCAGCACTACGGTGTATGTATCTCGCGTGTTTTATATGCCTGCGTACGTGTGTGTGTGTGTTTGTATACGTGTGTATCATGCACCGTATTCTCAGCTGATTCGTACGGCCCGGCGGCGAGCCTTCCTCTTTTACTTATTACCAAATCGTGCACACGATTCACACAAAATCCGAGACTTCCGGAGTGGCGGCGCGTTCGCAGCAACTATGTAACCCGCGGAGAGATCACTGCCACACTCGCCGCGTGAGAAGGACGCGCGCGCTCGCTTCGACGGAGGAGACGCACACTTCCGACGCACTCTCTCTCTCTCAGCTGCTGCGACAGCAGTAACAACAACGAAGCACACGGTCGGCGCGCGTTAGGAAGAGGGCGAGCGCGCGACGACGCGCGCGTTACCGCCGCGCTGCGTGTCACACAGAGAGCAACGAACGACGAGAGCCGCACGGAACACAGTACCACTCTCCACGGAAGCGCTCGCGTTACTGCGGACGCGACACACCGAGGCGCTGCAGTCGCCGCTCTCGAGGACGCCGCTCGGAGAGCAATGGGCGAGGGGAAGAGAGACGTAGGGCGGAGCGGCGGGTGAGTGGGGCGAGAGAAGATCGTGAGGTCGCCGGAGAGGGGTCGTTGGGACGTCAGGCGGGGGTCACCGGCGGTGTAAGGGAACCTCACGCACGATGCCCGCGAGAATGGAGGGGTGCCACGTGAGCGCTCGACGCCCGGCGTCCACGCAACGGACGCGCTCTCCTAATCTCACGTGTCATGCCCGGCGAACTCTTTCGCCCGCTCTCTCCGAGCCGAGGATTTCGAGAGGCTCCATGGAGAGCGGATACGCGAGCATTTCGAATTCGGTGAGTCGCGCGTACCTAGAAAATATCTACCTGCGGCGCGTTGCTAGGTGCTCGTCCGCACAAGTGTCGAATTCGCACCATGGCACGTGGAGGAAGCAGTAAGGAAATTGACCAGCCGATCGGTTTATTTCTTTGGGTTTGTGTATTTCAGTAGACGATAGAAGTCCCGATAAGTTGAAATTCTAGCTACTTCTGTTTAGGCGTGTAAATTTATCGTCAATTCTATCGTCTTTTGGAATGAAACTTAAAGAAATATACCGATTGGTTGGTCGATTTTCTTGTTATTTATGCTTTTTTTATGCGCCACCCATTTAAGAGCCAGGGCACATGGTAAAACGTAAGCAGTACCGATTTATGCCCGTTTATACCCCCATGATTTAAATCTAATTGACGATTAACTGAACGGAATTAACCAATTGCACTGATCAGTTCAGCTGATTGGCCAATGCGATTCGTCAATTCTGCTGAGTCAATCGTCGATTAGGTTTAAACCGTGATGATAGAAACGGACATTAGGCCCGGTCTTTGGTTAACTTGTGGTTTATAACCTGACGATAATATGAAAATTGTTTTTCTTTTTATGATTAATCGTTAGATTTTAAAAGTTATTACTACAAACCCGTCGATTTAATGATTAATCATGAATGGGAAAACAATTTTTGCATCACCATCAAGTCTAAACCACAAGTTAATCATAAAAAAATCGGATCTTAAGCAGTAATCAAAATTAATCAACCACAGTAAATTATTTCTCTGCTAATGTCTTGCTTTGTACATATTTCTATGTGTCTTGGTTCTAAAGGAGCGGTGAATAAACTTCAGAGTCGTTTCCCGTCGTTATCCGTCGAAGGGTGGTTTGATCTTTTCCCAGCCTTTCTTCGAGTTAAGTGGGGTGTTATTCGATACGGAATGGGTGTATTTCGCGTATCGATGACTTTAATTGTTCGCGAGACGATTTTCTCCGCGCGTTACGTGTGTTGACAGATCGTACGGAAGTGTCTTCTTTCTTTCGTAATCCGTTCGAGATACGCGCAGAACTCGCGGCGCATGTCGCGAGTTGCATTAAACGCGACTCGTGTTTGGGAAATTCGAACATACGCACGGGATGTGGCCGCGTAACGAGATCCGGAAACGCCGGTATCCGATTCTGTTTGGTAAATTATTGCTCGCGAAGGAGGAAGCCGTATCTACGACCAAAGTCGGCGGGGATCCCAAGTTTCACTTTCCGTGTGATTCGAATCGCTCACCCCTTCACCTCCTCCTTCACCTCTTCCTGCTGCAGCACCTCCGCTACCTCCCTTCTCTTCGTAAGGATTGATTCGAGGGTGTCCGCTAGGATCACCGTAGTCCGGAAATCCGATTCATCGTAATCGGGGTCAAGTTGAACGTATTTGTACGGCGCGAGGAAGAAGAATGACCCTTCGTCGTCTTGACATGCACCGACGTGCCGAATTGACCAATCGACCGACGCGCGTAAACATGCGCACATACACACATATACGCCTCGACGTTCCTCGGCAATTTGCGGTACTTTTTCACAATTTCATATTTACTGCGTTCGCATGTCCGGTTTATTCCGGACGATTTTAGAATATACAATGGAAAATGTTAAAAACCCGGAGGAAACGGTTGACCGTCCCGAGTTATCTCTGCGCTTTCGCACAGCACGTGTTTACCAAAATATCTCGCTAATTAATTTATCATTTTTTTATTTAATATATCACTTTCGTTTGTGTTCGGTTTAAGGAACATAGTATATAGAAAAACGTAAACGGTAAGCAAATACAGCAATGTCAGTCGATTAATCTCCTTAGGTCGAGGAATAATCGACTGTGATTGGTTAATTTTCTTTCTGCTTAAATCTTCTTTCGTTTTTCTGTGTGCCATGGGGCCCTAAGATATCTCATTAGAGGGATAGCATTCCTGAAATAATTCAATAGCAGAAAATAGCCGAATCCCGCAGCGAAGCTAATCTCGTGCGATACACGTAGCGTTTTCGCGACGCGCGAGACATATTTGACGTGGAAATCCGCCGATTTGTGATAGGAAAATCGCATTTTGCGGCGGTAAGCACCGGATATTTCCCCGATACTGCGAAGATTCTCGTCGCCGCTGACAAGCCGCGTCATCCGCAAACCGGAAGACCGTTTCTCTCCGGAGAACACGAGTCGATTTCCGCAGCGGCGCGCAATCTCGATTTCTTTTCAGCCGGCGGCGGTGTCGCCGCGAAAATTTCGCAAAAAGCCGGGAATAACCGAGTCACGCGCGATGCCGCTTTACGCGCGCACTCGCGATAATTTAAAACAAACAAATCATTCGATACCCACGGCGCTACGGGGAGAAAGAGAAAGAGAGCTATCGACACGTTCGAATTATATTTTTCGCGGTCTAAAGTCGCATTGAAATTCTACCGAGGCTGGAATATTGATCTACCGCGGCGACACACAGCAGCAGCAGCAGCAACGCACGGTTTAGGAAACACATTAGAGCGCACTAAATTCAGTCCGTACGATAACGACGGTATTACCATAAATTCCTCCCTTTGTAAATCGCGAGAAATAAATGAATTTCTCGTATCATCCATACTACTGATATCTGCGTCTTTAATAGTGAAATACGCGCAACAGACCGGCTTAAATCTGAGAGTAACACCCGTATTCTTGACGCTGAAGTAATATCATAGGTCTCTCAGACCTACATCATGAAAAATGGTAAGAATCGTGTTTTTTCTTGCATTTTTTTTAGTCATCTATGAATTATCAAGTTTACCAATTTTCATTGATTGTCTCTGTAAACTGGTTTTCATTGATTGCCCTTCTAAACTGGTTACCACCAGAAAACCACAAAAAAATTAACCCCCTCCAGCTAAAAACTAGCTCCCACAGCTAAAAACTCAGCTATCCATATAATACAACTGAAGTTTAGCTACCAGGCCTAGTTTTTATCTGTGGGAGCTAATTCTTATGATTATAGCCGTGCACAGTTCGTGACCATAGTCGTACACGGAGAAAAGAATTAACTTCCATAGCTAAAAACTAGGTCTGGTAACTAATTTTCAATTGTATTACACAGATAGCTAGTTTTTAACTCAATGGAAGCCAATTCCTTTTTTCCGTGTAGACATTTTATTGGATCAGGCTGATAATAGCATTGGTCACATAGACTCAACTAAAGGAATAGAAGCGACGTATAGCATCTTGTACAAAACGTGGAAGAGGGAGTAAGCAAAAGAAAACGCGTGTCGGCCTCGTAGGTCTAACATGTTACCGTCCGAGTAAATCGTGCGAGCGGAGTGAAAATCGTGCGACGCATGAAGCGTCGTCGTGTTTCAAGTTGCAAGAGACGTTAACAAATAAATTCGCTGACAGAGTCGCAAGATACGCGCGCGTATCCCCGATCTGCCGAAGACAAAGTCAAAGCCCGCGCGCGGATCGCTCCACTTTGCGGTAGGTCGTGCGTGCGCGCAGATTTGAAATTATTTCCAATTAATTAAAGCGACCGCCCGCGATATCGGCGAGGTTTAAGCAGCCAGTGAACGTCCGCCCTCGGTAAGCCTCGTGTCCGCGATATCCATGCGACACATTCGCGGCCGAAGGACCACGGCGGCCCGCTAACTGGATTAACGACGTAGTAATTTCGGATTAAAAGGTAATCGACTCCCGCGTTCTCGCTCGGCTAAAGGAACGGTCCTGCGAATCGCCGTCCCGCGAACAGCGGATTAAGGCGGATGAAGAAAGACGGGAAGGATGGAAAATTGTAAAAGAGAAAAAGGCAAGAGGGATAGAGAAATCCACGATGGACGAAATTCACACGTCACCTATGCTTTTTCTCGATCACGTCTCGTTCATTTCACATCTCAACAATGGTCGTTTCACCGTCAATCGACCACCGTCGGCAGACGATGTCCAATTGTCATGCGGAACAATGCAACGTTAGTTAGCGTTCAGACTGGTATAAGGTTACAACTGTTTCGTCGAAACATTTTTTTCCCCTTTCTTTTTTCTCCAAGGCACCGGTGTTTTCGTTAACTATCAAATGATCAATAGGAAATTCTGAAAACTTCATGAAACGGACGGTGTTCTAAACTCCGACAATGACTTGGGTTTGCGACTAAGGTTTGCCCAGCAGAAGGCTAGGAACTCAGGTAAACGGCAAACAAAGGCTTGAGACAAGAGATATTGTGTGAAGACGGACAAAAAAGGACAAGCTATAAACCGAAAATTTACAACTATTTGAAAATTCCACCAATGACACGTCGTTTAGCGGAAGATAGATATCCGGGAAACGATCTATTGCTGCCGACAAACGCTTTCTACCTTCATAAACGTGCTTTGTGATCAACTAATGAAACATTTTTTGTATATATTTACTGAACGATATTCCCGCCTGCTCTTTCGAAATTTCCGAAGGCTCTGAAAGCTGCGAAGCTACCGGAAACGAGATAGTGACTCGACGTTGCAGCGCGGCGTCGACTTGAGACGTCGCCACGTACGCACGAGTACCGATTGCTGTAACGCGTCTTGGTTTCGTCATTTGAATGGAAAGTTCACTTTAGAAAGTTTTTACGAAATCTTTCCGAATAGAAAAAAAAGCACGATTAT